TGAGAAGCCTCACCTCACCTTAGCGGCTTCGAATTGCAATCTCTTTGTCTGTCGCGCCAGCTCCGTATCTCCCTTCCCCGTGAAGAACACCCACGCGTCGCGCACCATACGCAGCGCGCGAATCATCCCGACCTTCCGTGATTTCCGCGATTTCCACAATTGCCGCGATTGCGATTCAGCAGCATGCAGAAAAAAAAACGACGAGCAGAGCTGTGAATGAGCCTATTCAGCTGAGCGGCAGGCAGCACAATCACTCCTCCACAGGCCCCCTATATCGTCTCCCACCTCCCTGCTATCCCTTTTGAGGCGCCTCAAAAGACTTCCCTGCTACCCCTCTTTCTCGCCCCCACGCTGTTCTTCCCCTGCGTCTCGGTGGGTAGCACCGCGCGAAACTGTTTTCGAGTCGACGCAAAAAAAAAAAAAAAAAAGCGAAACTGTTTCCGAGTCGACTAAAAATTCGTCTGCCTTTTCCTCCGGCACGGTGAGTACTGAGCGAAATGGTGGCGACGAATGGGGACCAGAATGCGCAGCAAGCGTCTCGATTGCGGTGGAAAGCGGGGCGCGTGGAGCGTAGAGGGCCCGGTGAGTGACGAGCTACGCGGGTGGAGCGGCGGGTGGAGCGGCGGATTGAGCGGCGGGTTGCGCGGGCAGTGGTGAGGCGGGAGCCGTTATGGTGAGTGGATTGCCTTATCTGGGGGATTGCGGATTTCGTAACGTCGCCGCACCGAGCTGTATCGCTTCTGACCATTGTGAGAACCGCGCTGGAAGGTTAGTACAAGTAATTTTCTCGCTATTCCTTACTTGGACCGTCAACATTGCATACAGTAGCAGCCGTTGTTCGCCTGTTACTGCTAATGGGGCTTCGCCAACTTAGCGCGCACTGTTTCACCAAACCTCGCACCGCTGGAGCAGCCGAGTCGGCCTACGCTTCGGGACTAGCCCGAACCTCGCGCCAGCGTAGCACTAGCTAGCTCGCACGCACCGCGTTACCGTTTGCATGCTTCGCGTATATTTTTTCGCTCATGCCTTCGCTCATACTTTGTACTCGTTGAACACTCTAGTGCAATCCTCGTCACCTCGATTCATTGCACCCGTAACACTTGGTATCAGAGCCACTTTCTTTTCGGACCGCGCATCTCCGCACCCCAGGAAATCAACTTTTGTTTTTTCACTTGAAGAGACTCACACCCCTTAGCACCTAGGAGCCGCTGTCCTCGCGTTCTCTCGTAAACACGTGCAGCCACGACTGCGCATAGACTAAGCTGAGCCGACGCCCTTCGCTATGGCTGAACATATCGACGTCACCACACTCACGCAGGACCGTATGAACGAGCTGCTGCGGCAACTGCACGAAAGCTCTGAAGAAATTGCAGCGCTGACGGGGGAACGCACATTCCTGCAGAATGACGTCGCACGAGCACAGCAAGCAAAAATCATAATCACCTGGCACTCTGGGACAACCTGCACCACATACATCACACGGAAGTGTGGGGCAACCCGCGAGCGCGGCCAGTGATGGCGTCGCCCCCAACGACGGAGACGACGACCACGGCACGACACACCCCGACACGACGAATGCGGCCAGGAGTCAACCCCGCGTCACGATTTCAGTGCCGGCCGGCGAATCAACACTACCGTCGCCGATGCCGCTGAAGCTGCAGCGTCTGCGATGCTTTGACCCGAGTCAACGGGGTGGTCCTACCATTCAGGCGTGGTTGTTCACGTTGAACGTTTTCTTCGACGCCAACTACGTCTCGGAGGATACGGCGAAAATTCGCTACGCCATGTCGCTGCTGCGAGGACCCGCCATGGATTGGTGGCGCGTCATTGTTACGAAGCCGATGGACTACGCGACTCTACCAACACGGGAAGGACAAACCGGACCCCGGGCGCCGTCGTATTTCGTGGAGAGGCCTGTCAAACTTATATGCTATAGTCTGTTTAGGCTGTAGTGGGGTAGTTCATATAGGGTACAACACTTTTAGGTTTCCCACTTGTACCCACCTGCTTGCTAGTTCAGTCATTCTTTCCTTCACTATTCTGACATGGTATTCTGAGCAGGTTCCTTTGTGGGAACGTTTTTTTTTTTTTTTTTTTTTTTTTTAGGGCCCACCACGATAACTATTTCCTGCCCTGCCCGACGCGCGCCTCGCGCCTGCCTCACCTACGCCGTCGCACGCCCTGCCCTAGTGCCGCCCGTCGCGGCCCTGCCTACTCGGCCCGTCGCGGCCCAGCCCTAACGGCCCATCGCGGCCCCCTGCGTTCTCGGCCCGTCGCGGCCTTACCCTAGTCGCGACCCCGACCTAGCCGCCTGTCGCGGCCCTACCCTGCCGCCCGCTGCGGCCTCTGCCCTGCCGTTGCTCGTCGCGGCCCTGCCCTGCCGCCGCCCTGTCGCGGCCCTGCCCTAACGGCCCGTCGCGGCCCCCTGCGTTCTCGGCCCGTCGCGGCCCCGACCTAGCCGTCTGTTGCGGCCCTACCCTGCCGCCCGCCGCGGCCTCTGCCCTGCCGCTGCTCGTCGCGGCCCTGCCCTGCCGCCGCCCAGTCGTGGCCCTGCGCTGCCGCCAATGTGCAGCGGCCCTGCCCTGCTGCCACCCCAGTCGCGGCCTTAACCTAACCGCCAGCTGCGGCCCTGCCCTGCACCCGCCCCTGGTAAGCACCCGCGCCGCCCAGTCGAGCCGCGCCGCTCCTCCGAGCCGCGCCGCCCTGCCGCGCCGCGCCGCCAGGAGCCGAGCCGCGCCGCCCAGCCGAGCCGCGCCGCCCTACCGAGCCGCGCCACCCTGCCGAGCCGCGCCGCCCTACTGAGCCGCACTGCCCTGCCCGCGTTGCTCCTGACGGAGTATCCCTTTTCGATCACACGTCCGGTGTCTCTCCTGCACCTGCTACTACTGCTGACAGTACAGTTCGCTCGCAGTGGACCACTCGTGACGCTGTTGCTCGCCTTGCTGTTCGTAGTCACCTGCCGTCTGCTGAGCGCGCGCACTTTGGCCAGTACAAAACTGCTAAGTCTTTGTATGACGCCGTTGTAGCGCTCTACTCCTCCCCTGCCACTGCTGCCCTCAGCCGCCTCATGCTGCCGTACCTGTTCCCTGACCTTGCCGCCTTTGCCACAGTTGCTGACCTCATTACTCACCTCCGCACTAGTGATGCCCGCTACCGCGCTGTGCTTCCCACTGAGTTCTGTGCCAAGAACCCCCCCCCCATGTACATCACCCTTTACTACCTAGTCACCCGCCTCCCTGACTCTCTTCCTTCAGTCAGGGACCACTTTCTCTCCCTTTGCCCCACCGAGCTCACCGTCGACCTGCTAGAGGAGCGCCTCACTACAGCTGAGAAGAGTATCGTTGCTGTAGGTGCTTCTCGCGGCGACCCTCGCGCCCCTTTCTTTGAGGGGTGTTCCCCTGTCCCCCTTCTCCCCTCTGTTGCTTCTGCTGCTACTGTTGACCTCGTTGGCGCTGAGGAGGTCGGGGCTGCGTCTGCTCCTAGTGGGAGGCGCCGCAACAGCAAGGGCAAGGGGGGCAAGGGTGGTGGAGGGGACGGTGGGGGCGGCGGTGGAGGCGGTGGGGGAGGCGGAGGGGGTGGCGGTGGAGGTGGGGGTGGTGCCGGGAGTGGGGGCTTTGGTGGCGGCGGTGGGGGTGGTGGAGGCAGCGGCAGCGGCGGTGGAGGCAGCGGCAGTGGTGGTGGAGGTGGCGGCGGCGGTGGTGCTGGTCGAGGTGGAGCCGCGCAGCGTGGAGGCTTTGGTGGTAGCTAGCGCCAGCAGCAGCCGCGTTCCCGTGAGACCCCGTCGGCCCAGCAGCTTCGTGAGTGGTACGCTGGGCGTGGGAGGTCTGGGGGTGTTGGTCCCTGCACTTACGTTCTTCGCACCGGCGGGCGCCGTGGGGAGATGTGCGGGCTGCCACACACTTCGCAGCGCTGCTTCGGTCACCTGACTGACGCCTGGCGCGCCCAGTTTCCTGACGCTGTTGAGCTCTCTCGCTGGGGTGATCTGCTTAGGCAGAATGTTGCTATCTTTGATCTTGATTTCAATGCTATCCTTGCTGCCATGTATGCTGTGACTGATAGTGCTGAGGGTGACTGTTACCTGTGTGTTCCGCCCGACCCAGGCATTGAGGCTGCTGCTCTAGGTGCTAGTGAGTCTGCTGCTCCAGGTACTAGTGAGTCTGCTGCTCCAGGTGCTGGTGAGTCTGCTCTCTCTGGTACTGCAACTACTGAGGCCTTGCACACTTTCACACTTGACTCTGGTGCTTCGCGCTCCTTCTTTCACGACAGCACCACACTCACGCCGCTCAGTCGGCCTGTCGCAGTCTCCCTAGCTGACCCCTCTGGGGGCCCAGTCCTTGTGCACTCTTCCACGGTTCTACCGTGTCCTGCAGCCCCGTCGGGCTTGCTGTTGGGACTCCACCTCCCCTCGTTCTCTACGAACTTGGTGAGTGGAGCTGACCTCTAGGACGTGTGGGTTGACCAGTTCACCCCTGGAGGTCAGCGTGTGACCCACTGCACTTGCTCTCGGACGGGCCGCCACCTGGCCACGTTCACCCGTCGGCCTGGGTCGAGTCTGTACACACTGACTACTGCGTCTCCTCCGGTTACTGCGTCTGGTCAGGTAGCCGCGTCTAGTCAGGTGTCTGCTGCCGCGTCCAGATCTAGTCCAGCGTCTGCCCCCTGCTCGTGTCGTCCTCTGTCACACGAGACTCTCCTTTGGCACCACCGCCTTGGTCACCCCTCCCTGCCTCGTCTTCGAGGTATGGCCTCCCGTACCTTTGTCTCTGGTCTTCCCCGGTCCCTCCCTCCCCTTCCTCCGGGGCCTGCCCCTACCTGTGTTCCCTGTGTCGAGGGCCGGCAGCGCACCGCTCCTCACTCCTCCGAGTTCCCTCCGACAGAGGCTCCCGTGCAGACTCTCCACATGGACGTGTGAGGCCCAGCCCGCGTCCGTGGACAGGGTCACGAGCGTTACTTCCTGCTGGTCATTGACGACTACTCGTGTTACACCACAGTCTTCCCCTTGCGCCGCAACGGTGAGGTCACTGAGGTGTTGATCGACTGGATCCATGGTGCCCGTTGCCAGCTCAGCGAGAGTTTCGGCTCGGACCTTCCTGTTCTGCGTCTGCACT